CTTAAGTTTTATTAAATAAATAAATAATGTTTAAATCATTGTACACAAGCTTCTCTTTGATATGGGACATTTATACCTTTTTTTCATCACACCTCTCCCCATTCCACCCCATTTACTCTTCTATTTACTCCATATTCTATTAAAGTGCAACTTAATAAATGAATCCCTAAAATAGTAAATGCATGAGTAAATTAAAACACACACACTTACACATATACCCAGACACATGTGGAATCAAGGCAAAGTCTGCACAAAGTCACATTATTGCTACAGCTGAAAAACCTTGATTTTAGAGTCAGGTATCTTGGATTTGCGTTTGATCTATGCCTCTTTTTTCATTATGCCAAACAAATTATTTGATCTCTTTAAAATAACTGTTTCTTTATTGAATTTCTGTGGGGATTACATGAGAAAGTTATCAGTTCAGTGACTGGAAATGTTAAGCTGTCAATACACAGCAACTATTATGTAATATCATTATTATTATAAACACAAGGAAATACAAACAGATGGCAGAAACCCATGCAGTGACAGAAGGTTTCAATCATAAGGAAACCAGAGAGTCTGAGTCTGCTCTTCTGGATCCAAGCTCTCAGGTCATTTGACTTCAGCTGTTAGATTATGTCCTCAAGATAGCCCAGTTCTACTTGTCTCCTTCTGCCTCATTTATCCATTCTTATTCCAACCCCTAAGACTTTAACATCTGGCTCCCAGACCTACAGATGCTATTACATGGGGAAAGCTGGACTGAGTCCATCCTGTCTTTTCTTAGCCTCACCTTGTGCCTCCTGGTAAGTCCTCTGTATGTCCTTCAGTTAGCCTCCCCCAGGATCTGGGCCTGAGATCTTTCCTTGGCTTAACCTTGCCCGCCTTGCCCAACATCTAATTTCAACAAACCCCAGCCCTTGATGAGGACCACAGGATGGACAGAAACAGCATTCTAAGTGGCCAATCCCCTTATTCCTCTTACTGGACTTCAGAGAGGGTTTGTGGGCCCCTGAGAGACCAGAGCCACCAACCTGATCAGTGAACTGTGGACTGCACAGTGAGGTACTTCCCAGGGCTCTTGAGGATCTGAGGTCCCAAAGGCTGAGGTGGACTGAGTCTCTGCAGTTTCAGGTCTTTAAGGACAGGCAGTATCTTGAGTGAGCGGAGTCCCCCAGGGCTTTGAAATGGCAAGAGCTCTCTCCACTGCTGCTAAAGCCATCTACAGTGAAATCTCTGTGAGTTTAGTGTGTGTGTGTGTGTGTGTGTGTGTGTGTGTGTGTGTGTGTGAACTTGCTTTTCTCTGTAGGTTTTTTTTTATGTTATAAATATTCAATCATTTGTGTATGTACATATAATGGTTACTCTAGTAATCATTAAATCAAATGGATCTGTGGAAGGAGGGTACAGATTCTTCTTTCTGATTCAAGCCTAAGAGAGGAATGCCCTAGTTATCACATATTAGCCATATCGAACTTTCATTTAAAACTCTTTAAAGATACACTTGGTAGTCCTATCAATTTAGACTTCAAAATATCTTTAGAACCACTTTCCTTCTTTAGTCATAATCTTTATTCTCTAGTCACTTCTTCTATTGAGCCTTCATTGATCTAAAGATTTCAATTCCACACCACCAATCCATCTGCTCCTCTGAAGCCATAATAATCATTCTAAAATAGAAATATGATTATCATTTCTGTAGGGAGTTCATAAAACTTTTAGGACAAAATAAGTGCCATTAGCATTACATACAAGATTCAGCAATTTCAGGTCCTTGACTTCCTCTTCAGTTTCATCTCCTGTCACTCATCCTCAAAACAATCTAAATTCTAAACTAATCTCTTTGGAATTCCTAGTGCATATTATAATTTGGCAAGGATCATTCCTTTGCATATGTTCTTCCTTCTTTCTAGAATATTCTTCCTACTCTTTTTTGTCTGACTCAGTTTTAACCCTATCATCACCTCATTTGGAAAGTCATTCTTCACTCACCTCTGTGTTTACTCACCCCGCCTTCGCACTAACTAACCACGCAATATTGCAATTATCTGTTTAGCTCTGTTTCTGCTTCCAGTAAGCAAGTTCCTTTATCATAAAAACCTTACTCTTCTTCACCATTACATTTCCATGGTTGTTCACAAAGTAGGCATTCAATCTATGTTCTGTTATTATTAATAGTAGCAATATTATCAGTTTATTTGTATCACATTTACTTTATAATATTTTATGCATTGAAATTACTATACTGTCAATTAGAAAATAATTTTATATTATTTGATGCATCTGAAAAATGCCTGAAGTGTGTATTTGTATCATTTATAAATACATCCACTCTCTGATTACCTACCCATTCATACCCTCTTAATGGTCATAGTCCTCCTGAAGTTATAGCCTAATTTTTTTGCCTTTGGGGAAGCATTTGTCCATGTTTCCTATAAATGCTTCTTTTATTTTATAGAATATTTTAGGAAACAATTGTTATTCTGAGTAGAACCCACAGTACTAAATATAGTATGAGCATTATGGTTCATACGTGGGGCCTAGAGCATTTTTATGGTGATAGCCAGATGCATATACGGCCTCGAGTTCTGTGACAAAGTATCAGAAAGACAAAGAATTCAGGTAGTGGTAAATATAAACAAGTATGGTGGTTTTTTAATATGTTCACTAATTTTATAATATGCCTGTCTTCAAAAAGTAGAGCTTTATTCCTCTTTCTTTGAGTTTGGGTTAAACTTAGATATTTATCTCTAAGAATAGCAGATGGTGGATATGGTAGTGTATGCCTGATACTGGGCCATAAAAGGCATTGAAGTTTCCTTTTTGCTGTCTCACTTGAATTGCTCACTCAGGGAGAAACCAGCCTCCATTACATGAGGATATTCAAACAGCCTGTATGGGGAGGAACGGAAACCTCTTGCTAACACACAGCACTATATAAGTGGCCATATTGAAAGTAGACCCTCTATCTCCAGCCAAGCCTTCAGATATTTGCAACCCCTGAAACATTTTGATTGCAACCTAATCAGAGACCCTAGACAGAACCACTTCTTAATTCTTGACACAGAAAGTGTTTGTGACAATAAATGTTTATTTTTCTTTTAAGTTGCTAACTTTTGAAGTAATTTGTTACACAGCATAGATAACGAATATGAAAGGAAATACAAGTTATCACTGTATAATCCTACCTGTGAATAAAGAACTGAAGGTCAAGGCAAAGTAAGTGAAGTTCTTAACAATTTGGGCTATTTAAACATAATCTACTATAATTCTATTTAAATAATCCCCTTTGAAATTTACCTCAACAGGGGAAGTAACTTAGCTTTTGTGAAATATTGTAAGCATGATTCTGCAAAAGGATTTCAAGATCACTTCTTTCACACAATGACAAATATTAACATAAAAATAATGTCAGGCTCAGGAAACCAGGCATTTTTCTAGACCCTGAATATTCAGAGGTAAATAGTTTATTCACTTGAAGACATACCTACTGAGGTCAATAGACTTGTAAAATGAAATTCAATACAGAATGAGAATCACAGGAAATCCAAAGACAGTTCACAACCTCAGGAATTCAGTGGGTGAAATTCATAACTGGCCCCTGTACCCAGGCAAGGAGGGATCTAAGAAAAAAGCAGGCCATTCCAGGTTGGTAGGTGGTAGATTTCAAGAGCAAGGGAACTTACATACAAGACTTGTCTTGGGTGGTCACAAGACAAGTAGATCCCCACACTTCCCTGCCATCATCTTAAAAGTTTATATAAAAGCTGCAACCAGGTGCAGGCACACATACCATCTAGATAGTATCGACAATACAATGTTCCCTTAAGGCTGTGTCCTTGAAAATGAATCCATTTATGGAAATGATGGGCAGAATGTACATTCCAAGGAAAGAGAAGCTGTACCTGGATTGCCCCGGGTACAATTTGCAGGTCAACCAACAGTCACATCCTCTTGACCTCTTCCAACAAAGGCGTCCACCTGGAGATTAGAGAAGGTCTTGAAAAATAGATTAACTTAACAGATGTTGAAGATGAATAAGTGTTAGG